AAGGGATCAACCAAAAAACATACATACATAACACATAGACATAGACAACAGTGTGGTGATAGTCAGAGGGAAAGGGGGGTGGGGGGTAGGTGGAAGCCGGCAAAGGGGGAGGAGATGGGGACAGAAAGAGACTTTGCTTGGGGCGATGGGCACACTGCACTGTGCAGATGATGTTTTATTGAGTTATGCACTTGAAACCTCAATGGTTTTGTAAGCCAATGTCACCCCAATAAATTATATATAAAGGAAAAGAAAAGTAAAATATTCTGATTTTAAATTGCTAAATAGTTTAAAAATGAAAAAAAAATTGTGCAGGCCTAATGTTGTCTTAGATTTGGCCCAAAAGTTTGAAACATCTAGTCTGTATAATTTTCTTTTAATGTAAGATTAAAAACCAAAAGAGGAATTTTAGTTTGAACATGGGCAATGTTCAAAGATCTGGCATATTATATTGGATTTTTAGATGACATACTACTTTAAATCATCTTGGCTGGTCTATTAGGTTTTCTAGAGAAATAGAACAAATAGAAAAAAAAATAGAGCCAATAGCATGTGTGCTTATATAGTATATTTGCATATATAGATAGATAAATATAGATTAGATATAGATATGTATATAGATGTATCTATCTATGGAGAGATTTATTTTAAAGAATTGGCTTATGCGATTATGGAGACTCAGGAAAAAGTCAATGTTTCAGTTCAAGGACAAAGTCCTGGTCCAGGGAGGTCTGTCTTTTGTTCTACTCAGGCCTTCAACTGATTGGATGAGGCCCGCCCACATTATGAAGGACATTATGTTTTACTTAAAGTCTACTGATTTGAATGTTAATATCACCCAAGATCACTCTCACAGAAACATCCAGAATGTTTGAACAAATATCTGGGTACTATGGCCCAGACAAGTCAACACATAAGATTAACTACCACGGTTGGTAATTTGGATAAAGGCAAGGCAATTTAGAGCGATGGGCTTTGTTTGGGGCAGGAGCAGTGATTATTGGGGCTGTAATCAGCTGTCTTAGATTTGGGGACTGTGTTCCATTTGAATTGTCACTAGACCACAGCTCAGCAGAACACCCAGGGACCTGGGAAAGACACTACTGTCTTCCAGAATCCACAGCCCTCATACAGTAAGCTTCAAGGGAAAGACTGAAGTCAGGCTTCTGCTGCTGCCTGGGACACCTCCATTAATCAGCACTGGCCTCAGCGTTCAAAGCCAGGAAGCTGAGGAACTGAAGGCTACCACTTCTGAGTCAGTGAATGAAGATTTGACCTGGCTCCCGGTAATGCTTGGAAATGAACAGAATGCCTGGATTTGCATGCATCTTATAAGGTCCCTCCCCCCAATCCCTGATTTATTAATTCAGGTTTCAAATGGAAAAAAGCAGCTGCGTAGAGAGACACAGAGGTGTGGGAGAGCAAATCCCAGGGCCAAGTTTGGGTCCAACCACCATTACTCAGAGCCTGAGTCATGTCCCACGTGCTCTGCAAGGTCAGGGGCAGGGGCCTTGTGCAGAGGGGCTGGTGATTCAGCTTCTAACTCTGGGCAGTTTCCCAGGTGATGGGGACACAGAGCAACCACTCCTGCCCTCGGCGTCTTCATCTCACAAATAGGAGGAGAGTTTCCTAGATGAGCTTGTCTCCCTACGTTTCTGGCTGCATACTCTTTGATTGCCTTTTCATATGTCAGTAATTCTGTAATATCATTGTTTACAGAGAGAATTAACTGGGAATTGAGTCTTTCCTCCAGCATGGTTGATCCAAATTTGCTTTTTATTACTGGTAGTTTTAGAAAGATTTCTTTCAGTTTAACAATTTATTTTTGGAAATGTCATGTAAATTTTTAGGGTAGTTGTCACATTTGGGAAATGCTCAAATACATTTTTTTTCTTATATGTCTCATCTGTTGACATATGTGCTTAAATATTTGTGCATAACCATGAAATTGGACAGTTTGGTTCTTTATATAATTTCTACATTCTTAGAGGCATCTTTGTCTTCTTTAATATTTCAAAGATCTTTACCAAATCACATTGATATGCTGTTAGAGGAATTGGGTAAACCATCCTTAAAATGTTTAAAAATAGGCAAGAGAGAAAAGTTAATGAAGATGAAAACAATGCTTTAAAGGAGCGAGACTGACTGCATTGACTATGAAGGATTGGACATGTGATATGAACCTATTTACCAGACAGGCTGGTTCAGGGGAATTGCGTACCTTGGTCAGATGCTTCTTGTTTGATGGGAGAAGCCACTTAGCCGAATTGAGCTCTGAGTCCCAGGCTGAGTCCTTCAGAGACCATAACAGGCCACTAGGGAATTGGGTTTCTGTGCCCTAATGCCTGCCCACCCTGCTTTGGCAGAGAAAGACAAATACCACGTGGTTTCACTTATATGTGGAAGCTAAAACATACAAACAAACAAACCAAAACAAAAACAGATTCATAGAAACAGAGACCAAAGGGATGGTTACCAGAGGGGAAGGGGGAGTGGCTAAAAAAATGGAAGGGGAAGGTAGTCAATAATCCTATATAATAAAGAGGCAGTATGCAAATTGACCATCACTCCAACACACAAGATGGCCACCCCCATGTGGTCAAAGATGGCCGGCAGGGGAGGGCAGTTGGGGGGGACCAGGCCTGCAGGGGAGGGCAGTTAGGGGTGAGCAGGGCCAGCGCCATCAGCACATGGGAGCAGAGGTGGAGGGAGTGGAGCTTCCGGCAGACAGGAGACTGGGAGCTGTGGCAGAAGGGGCCAGGCAGGGGTGCGGAGGATGGGCCAACACCCACCCCTGTGCCCACCACAGCCTTGTGGTCCACAGTCCCTTTCAAGGTGCACGAATTCGTGCACTTGGCCGCTAGTAAATAAATAGATAGATAGATAGATAGATAGTACTGAAGGTGGGAGCAAAAAGGATTTTGTGACAGGGTCTTGGGTCCCTGACTTCTGTATGGAAATGCTTCTCCTTACCAACTGGTACACTTCTGTGTTATGGAAACTACATATTGCACTGAATGTGTTCTTTTTTTGCTTTGGACACTTGGAAGCTCCTATCAAACCATGTGACCTTAGTAATTGTGAAGGACTGTGTGACATCGATGTTTAGGAATTCTGGTTTCAGTGGCTTATTCTAATAGTTGCTAATCAATTTTTATTTTTTGTCTGTTGTATACAGATTTGAAAGGCACCATAAAGCTTATTTGGAAAAATAATAGAGGTATAAGTAAAATAAATATAATGTTTTGGAGGGAGAATGGCTGAGATGGAGTTGAGAAAGAGTAGTTATAAATTTACAAAGCTGAGATGGGGCCCTGGCTGGTGTGGCTTATTGGGTTGGGCATCGTCCTATGCACAGGAAGGTTCCTAGTCAGGACAATGTCCGGGTTGTGGGTTCAGTCCCCGGTAGGGATTCTGCAGGAGGCAGCCAATCAATGTTTCCCTCTCATATCCATGTTTCTCTCTTTTCCTCTCCCTTCCTCTCTCTCTAAAAATCAATACAAATATTTAAAAATAAACTGAGATAGGGAGGGGAATGGTAAGGGGGCAGGAATAGGAAATTGTAGATGGGATCAAATTTAAGATCAAGATTTGAGAGAGTATTAGCTGAAATCAGAGCATGAAGCCAGCTCAGGAAAGGGGGTGGGGGGGAGTTCCCAGCCACATCCCACGGCAATCTAATGGCCTCTTGTTATTTAGTTAGCCATGTTTTTTTTGTCTGAGTATTTTAAAGAGTTTTCTCTTTATCTTTTCACTATGACATGTCTACTTTTGGATTAATTTGTGTTAATCCTGCTTTCTACTCAGAGCAAATTTTCAATTTGAGAACTTACATTTCTTTTCAATCTTGGAAATGTTCTACTTTTATCTCTGAAATATTGCTTGTTCACTCTCCTATGTGTTTCTTATCTGCTCTTTCTGATAATTCTCTCCATTACCGCTACCCTCTAGGTCATTTCCTCTGAGTCAGTTCTTATACTGTGTGCACTTTGCCTAGTGAGTTTATCTCAATAACTACATATTTAATTTTCACATTTTCTAGTTTTTTAATAGTTTACTGTTATTTTAATTTCTGCCTAATTTTTTCTTGTAATTTCTGTCCCTTTTATTATGTTTTTCTTCTCACTGAGGATCCTAGGCCTTTATTTAAAGTCATTGTCAGACTCTCTATAATTTTACTTTCATCTTGAGTGAATTCATGTTTGATTATTTATTAGTTTATTTTGTTTCCTATATTTTGCTGCATTTGATTTCCTAATGTGTTTTGAAATGTTTGTTTGCAAGCTCATCTGAAAAGGAGGTCTTGCACCACCACCCTATCCAAACAGATACTATTTCAATTAGGGTGCGTTTGACTTCACGTGAGAGGAAATCCAACCAACACTGGTAAACCAGGGGTGGGGAACTTTCGGCCCGTGGGCTGTATAAGGCCCGAGAAATCATTTGGTCTGGCCCTGCCAAGGCATTAGTGGTGATTAGATGTTTGACCAGATATAGCAGGCTAGTTTTTAAGTTGACAGTCTTGTATGGCCCACAGATGATGTTATCCAAACGGTCCTTGGCAGAAACAAGGTTCCCCACCTGTTGGGGTCCAACCCCAGCAGGTCCAGGGGTTCCCAAAGGTGTGGACAGAGTCGGCGAAGAAGGAATGACACGGAGACAGCGTTCAGTTGATCAGCAGCCTAGCCAGGTTCTCTAGCCAGTTTTTTTTGTTTGTTTGTTTTGTTTTTGCCAATGCCCCCTGGTGGCACCATGCGAAGCAAGGCCAGGCTCTCAGCTACCGGAGCTCAACTCTTTCCACTACTTAAAGCTGGGAAGGCTGAGGGCAGGCAGACAGGAGCCGGGTCCCTCCCAAGGTTAATGGACAGCATGGGGCAAGGCAGGGCCAGGCTGCATTGGCCTCTCTCCCACCCACTGCACCACTCTGAGTCTTCTCTTTCCCACTTTCTTCCCAGCCACCAGGCTTAGCAGAAGTACCAGACTCAGAAAGGCTAAGAGCTGAGAGAACAACTCCAAATTATCTTTTATTTATACAAAAAAAGGGCATGTTTAGCAAAAGACACACTGCGAAAAGAGAGGCTATGGCCCAGGAGACAAGGCAGGGAGGTGACAGGCCTTCTGAAAGCCTGCTGGGGGAGAAGGGGTCTGGGACAAAGTGGTGAGAAGTCCTGGGTAAGTGCTGAGTCGTGGGGGCTACAGGAAGAAGAAAACTCCAGTTGCATCAACACTGACGGCAGCTCATGAGTGGGACTCACAGTGACCTCGCTGCTAAGTATTCCAGGGGTTCCAAGTTAGTGCTGCCAACGAGTGAGAGCCACCCCCGGTTCCTGGAGAGTACCCACCAAGGGACACAGGACAGGAAGTGCAACTCGGGGTGAAGGCCAGGGAGAAGCAGGTGCCCTGCAGTGGCCAGGAAAGGTCCAGACTCGAGGCGGAGGTGCTTCCTGTTACGTGCGGGCGTTCTGCTCTGCCTCTGCCAGGCACTCTCTGACTAGGGCCCGGGCATGGATGATGCCTCTCTTCAGGCGCTCCATGGCGCTCTTGCTGCCGGCATAGGTGGGCCGGATCTCTTTGCCCATCTCCTCTATGACCGACAAGTCCGTGTAGGTGCTCTGGGAGCCCTGGGCGCCGGGTGGCTTCATTGCCTGCACATAGCCCATGGAGGGCGGTCCAAAGTCGTTAAACAGTGGTCTGAAAGGGGCAGCAGCTCCAGGCACCGAGCCCGATGGCGAGGTGACACTTCCGGCTGTAAGGACTGGGGTGCCGGGCCCAGGGGTGCTGGAGCCCGGGGTGCTGCTGGGGGCGGGGGCGATGGGTTTGTAGGACATCCCCAACTCTTGGGTGCTTCGCACGGCGGATGCTCCTCCGGGGTTGGCTGCCTGGCCACTCAGCTGCGCTCTGATTGGCAGGCGGGCTGCACGCCCCTAGTAAATAGACCTCTGGCCGAAAGGGCGGACAGGCACAAACGCTCTCTCACTCCCGATTGGTGAGCAAAGATGTCACTTGGACCTCCTCATTGGCCGAGACCAGCCCCAATAGGCTGCAACCGCTGCTGATTGGTCACTGCTTTCAGGACCTTGCACCTGTCTGCTTCAGATTGGCCAGTGCCTGTCGCCCTCTGCAATTGGAGAGTTCGCTGCTTGGCACCGCGCACTCTCAAACCGATTAGTCCCAAGACTCGAGAGGCGGGGCCTCGGAGCCTGGACGGGAGTCCAGTTGCTTGCGGTTCCCCCTGTGGGGTTCTTCAAAGGTGTGGGCACGACCCCCGCGCCTCACTCACGTTGCTTTGCACATCTGCTCCCGCTCTGCGCAGCCAGGCCTCGGTTTAGCTGGGATTGCTGTAGCCTTGGTCCATGTGGGCTGCTGTTACCGCTGCCAAGGAGCGTGCCTTTCCAGCCAGGTTCTGTGTTTTATTGTCTTGTTACATCTGTATTTATACCAGTTGATTTTAATCGTCAATTTCTATTCCAAAAGTTAGGGCGTTTCTTATCTCCATTCCAGGGAGTAAAGATTATGTAGCGTAAGCGTGATTGTTCATAGTTTAAGTGATTAACTACCTGCCTGGCACTTAGTTAAGGGGTTTTATTCCCTCCCTAACTTCAGAGAAAAATCCCTACCTGGGGAAACAACCTTTCTCGGAGAGGTGACCTTGGTTAAAACACATAGCGCCAAGAAGGGGAGCAAACATATTAAGAACAGTATGCTATATACACCAGGTCCCTTGAAACATATGCTGTGCAGATGTTTCTTCCCTGCAGCGACTGTGTCAAGCAGCAAGGATGGACCGTCTTCCGGCACCCACCCCTGGATTAAACAATGTGAAGTGTATTATTTACTTCAGAAGTACGGAGGCTTGGTGGCCGGGACACACTGAGTGGTCCAACAACGTCAGGATTCCAGGCCAGTTTACCTTCTTTTCCTCAATAGTTGCAAGAGCCTGTCTCATGTCTCAGCTTCAGGCATCCTGTCATCGCACAGTAACATATCAGGTGAGATGGGAGATGTAGGCAGAAAACAGTAGCTTTTTCCCCTGCAAATGCTCTATTGGTAAGAAAATCTCTCCTAGAAGCCCTAAGCAGTGAGCCTGACCTGGGTCCCTCACTGGCTATTCAGCACATATACTTTCTACCCACATCTACTTTCTACAGGAATAAAACTCCCAGACACCCCAGACTAACCGAGCGCTTAAAGACAGCAGCTTCAGTGTCTACTAACCACTTCACAGCATAGACACAGTCATCTTGATTTTGAACTAGACTATGACTTTTTAGCAATTTCATTTTATATTTCATGTGTTATTACTGTGTGCTTAGATTGGAGGAAAGGAAGGAGCCTTCAAATGACATATTTACAATGCTCTCTTGATCCAAAGCCTACTCTTTTTTCTTTTTTAAGTATGGGATGTGAGTCATGTGCTGGGTGAATGATCAAACTCACACCACTAGTGGAGATGCAGTTCACTGGGATTGAAGGATGTGGGCCATCGGGGCAAGGAGCCAGCCACCTGTCATAACCCTCCTGGATGTGTGAGGCACAGGCGAAGCTCAAAACAACAAGATACAAATAAATACCTTCGTGATACATATACAATTTGAAAGGATGTACCTGCATATTCAACTTATTAACACCTGAGGGCAGAGTTTTAGCCCGGATATACCTTCCGTATGAACTTGAAGTCCAGAATCAACCTCCAAAGCTTTGAATTAGCTACACTGTGGCAGTTGTGGAGAGGATCAATATTTAGTCTTGGTTGGTTAATTTTCACATTAATTAACTGGAATGCGATATACCATTTGGAAATGATAGGGGTAGGATAGCAACACCTTGACCCCCAAACCCTTTTTGCCTGCCCAGTGTGCATTCTCCTCCACAGGGCATGGGATGGGAGGGCTTGGAGGGTGGAATAGGAGGGTCTTTTCTCTGTTTCTCCCCTGGGAGCACATATTTTATAGATGAGTTACAATAGCAACCAAACAACACATTTCATGTTGCCTGCACTGATTTGTGTCTCATTGTCTTTTCTAGACTGGCTGGTCCAATTTTGGAACAGAGGTGGGGTTGTTTCAAAGACTTTCTTTCAAAGGCTCTGTTTTGGGAACTCATTTTTTCCTTTTTCTTTCAAAGGAAAAAGAAAGTTACTTCTGTGCAGCTTATTTACTAGCAGCTGTTCCAAGGGGATTGAAGTTCAGCATTTCAAAGGCCTTGTTTTCAGAATCCTTTTCTTTCTGCTGTTTTATTTAAAGATAAAAAGTTAGTTCCATACGGCTTATTAAAGAAGTTTTCTAAGATTATTCCAGGACAGCTTCTGGAAGGGCTGCCGAAGCCTGCATCACTCATTTCCCAGCGCCTGGTCCGCGGCTGTGCAGGCAGAAAGGGGCTTTGGCTGTGACTTCTGCTGGCAGCGGCCCTCTCCCACCTCCTTACCTCCTTTCCACACCCTGGGGCTCCGCTTTACAGCCGCTCAGCTTCCGGCTGCTGCTCAGGCCCAGCTCAGCCTCTGACCACTTCCACCTTCATGTTCATGTCCATGTCCATGTCAGCCACTGGCCTGCTCTGAGCCTGGCCACGGACTGCCTCAACCCACAGCTCCTCCATGAGTGCAGTGCCCCGCCTCCACCCCCCATCAGCTGAGACATTGGCCTTTGGAGCTGCCTCTACCGGTTCTGTCTCCTGGTGAGTGGAGCTGTAACCCGAGGTTCCTAAGGCTCCATTTTACCACAACACATGGTCTCCAGCCTTCACATTCCCCTTGCTCACTTCTAAGGAGCTATTGTATGCACCCCCAAAGCTGCTGCCCAGGGGAGGGGAGGGTTGAGCTAATTGCATGTCAGGATGGATTTCACATAAGCTGGGAAAAAGCACACCCACAGTTACCTCCCTTTAAGGGTGAGGTCCAGAAGTGCAGGAAGCCAGCACATCAGGATTATGCAACCATGGGAGGGGTCTTTGTCGTGTTGATTTAGATCAGGGTTGGCAAAAGATGGCCCATGGGCCAAATTTAGCTTGCCACCTGTTCTGGTAAATTACTGGGACACAGCCACACTCATTTGTTCATGTTTTGTGCATCGCTGCTTACAAACCAGAGTCGGGTAGTGGCAGCAGAGATCACAGGGCTCGCGGGACCCAAAGTATTTACTAACTCGCTCTCTGCAGTCAAAATTGGCCACCCCTCATCTTCGGTCTGTAGAGGGGAAGAAACTTGAGACTTCTGGCAAAGCCCTAAGAGATTCAGGAAGCCTTCCTGCAGTCTGTCCAGCACCCTTATATCTGTTCTGGGTGTTGAAGTGTGAGTGTTGCTCACCACGCACTGAGATAAATCTACGTGCATTTAACTTTGCCTGTGCCCGACAGCCTGTGCCCCTTTGACCCCCTCCAAGGGATGTTATGTTAATAGGAAAGGATGGAGTTAAAGAAGATATTGTACTATTAGGAACAGTAAATATTTGTGGTTATTTGCATCTTGGTGAAGGGTTTGGGATGTTACAATATTTGCTTTGGTGACATCCCACTAGATATGGTGAGGCAGTAAAATCCTTTGACCACTCATCCCAATCTATTGTCTGAGCTGAAACCCCTTGGGTGGTCCCCAAGGTCAAGGAACACAGCAGAGCTATGGGCTGCCATAGCTGTCAGTCTGAGAATAAGCCACCACATTCATCCCCTGCTCCTGGTAGAATAGCTGGGCCAACATGGTGTCCAAAACTTGTGGTTTATCTACCCTGGTGACCACATCAGCAAACGGCACCAGGTCTGCTGTGAGAAAGGAGTTCTGAGCATGCGGATCAAGGACACAGCTTTTCCCTCACAAAGCAAGGCTGTTCTCCATGTTTGTGGTAAAGAAAATATACTTAGAGTTTGAAATAAGGCAAAAGTGTAGGCAGATGTCCTTTGAATGGTTAACTGGCTCAACCAAAGATTATTTAAGCCTTTATGAGAATGTCCCTGTGTTTGACCTTGCTATTTACTACTGATTAGAGTCCAGGCATTGTAAAATTACATGCTTACTGGTATTTCTGTTTGACAGAGGTTTTATTGCTCTGTAGGGCAGTAACTAGTTTTGCATCTGGCCTAGCAATCTTTTCAAAAACATTTTTCTTTTTTTCTAGCAATCTTATTCAAGCATTCTTTTTAAAAGTGCCTTTTATTGATGGACTCTACAGACCCTGTTCCTCGTATACTCTTGGTAGCAGCTCTATCATCTTACTGGCTTGTAATTATGGTGAAAGGATGCCCAACCTTGCTATTTCAAGCCTCTCCTCCTTTAATGTATTCTAACCTCTCATTGGCCAAAGCAAAACACATCAAACTCAAGGGCAAGGAACTTCTCAAAGGAGATGGGAATAGATGTTAACAGAACACTCTCTAACCTACAGTTATGGCGAATTTTGGGTCAATTTGGCTGGGCCATGGGATGTTCAGATAGCTGGTTGAGTATTGCTTGTGGGTGTGTCTGTGAAGATGTTTCTGGAAGAGATTACCATTTGAATTGGTGGACTGAGTAAGGATAAGGCCCTCCTCACTGGGGATGGGCATCATCCAATCTGCCCAGGCCCTGAGCTATAGCACTGGCCTTGCTGGCTTCTCCAGTGTGCAGACAGCGGATTGTGGATCTTCTCAGCCTCCACAATCATGTGAGTCAATACCTCTATCTGTCTGTCTATCTATCTATCTATCTATCTATCTTCTATATGTCATCTATCCATCCTCCCATCTATCTATAATCATCTACCTTCTATTGGCTCTCAGTTTTCCTGGAGAACTCTAATAAACTGGGGCATTTGATTAGCAGAACTCATTGCAGTGCACTCATTGTCAGATGCTTAGAACAAATAAGAGGACCATGTACTATAT